ACAGAATAGGAGGGAGTATTTGTAAATCATGTATTTGATAAGGGACTTGTACCTAGAACATACAGAGAACCCTTACAACTCAATATTTAAGGACAAATGATCTAATTTTTTTTGACAAATTACCTAATTTAAAAATGGGGTAAATAAATAAATAAATAAATATAAAAATAAAAGTCTGACCCTACATACCAATCATTGCCATTGATGTAGAGGAATTGGAAGTCTCATACGCTGCTGATATGTTTAGCTTTCAGAAAACTGGCTATTTGTTAAAATGCTAAACATGCATTTCTGACATACTGAAAATAAAACCATATATCCAGGCAGAGACTTATACTTAAAACACTGACTGCAGCTGCATTTGTAACAGTTCTATATGGAAGCAAGCTGCAGGTCCATCAATCCATGAGTGGATAACAGTTTGTGGTATATCTATACCATGGAATACTACTCAGCAATGAAATAAATAAAATAATGGTGCCCTCAACAACATAGATGAGTTTCAAAGTCACTATGCTGAGTAAGGGAAGATAAGGAGAAACAAAAATACACATGTAATTCCTTTTAAAATTCTGAAAAATGAGTAGTAGTCCACTGGTGACAGAAGGCAAATCAGTGTTTGCCGGGAGATGAAGATACAAAGGGGATTGGGTAACAAACAAGCACGAGAAAATGTTGAGGGTGAGAGTAATATACATTATCTTGATCTAGATGGTAGTTCCAATAGGTGAACACACATGTCAAAACTCACCATATTGTACACTTCAAATATGAGCAGTGTATGTCAGTTATATATCAATTAAGTTGTTTAAAAGAAAACAGAAAAAATACACATTTGTTGGATAATTTAAAAGTTACTGAAAATATGATGAAGAAAAGAAGTGAGTAAGTGCACATACTCTTTGATTCAGTCAGCCCAGTTTTGGGAATTGACAGAAACAAGAAGCACTAGTCCTTAAGAACCCATGTTTGAGGGATCCCTGGGTGGTGCAGCGGTTTGGCGCCTGCCTTTGGCCCAGGGCGCGATCCTGGAGACCCGGGATCGAATCCCACATCGGGCTCCCGGCGCATGGAGCCTGCTTCTCCCTCTGCTTCTCCCTCTGCCTGTGTCTCTGCCTCTCTCTCTCTCTCTCTCTCTCTCTCTCTCTCTGACTATCATAAATAAATAAAAATAAAAAATAAACCTTTTAAAAAAAAGAACCCATGTTTGAGAACATTTATAACAATATTATGTATAGAGGCAAAAACAGAAACAATTTAAAATATCTCTCACTAGGAGAACAAATCAGTAAATTATCAAGGACTACAACACAGTCATTAAAAGGATGAACTTCATGTGCTGCAACACTGAGGGTGTTTCTGCTGTATGTTTAAGTAAGTCAAACAAAAGACAAATTACCATGTATACACAGTATGGACACTATGTGTATATAGATGACACTGGATGGATGGACAGATGGATGGATGGATGGATGGATGGATGGATGGATGGATGAATGGATGGGTGGATGGATGGACGGATAGATGATGGATGGATGGAGGGATGGATGGATGGATGGTGGATGGGTATAGACAATGCACCTCCTACATATGTGCTTTCATGTAAGAACACAGAGAGAGATGAGGACAGCTATACATTAAACATTATTTATGTATGTACAGTGCACATTATTGGCTGGGAATGGCTTTGGAAAAAGATATAAAAATGAGTATGTTTTAGTCTTATTATTAAGAAAAAGGATTAAAATCAAATGAAGACAGGATTCTGCTTGTTTTGAAATGCATCCAAAAAATATATTTGTTTGAGGTTTAGAGCAAGAGTAGGAGAGACAGAGGTGAGATAAGGAAAGGTAATGAATGCCAATGTCAGAATCTAAGGACGTGGATATTTGCTATACTGCTTGAAAATGTCCATAAAGAACATTGAGGGAAAGGCAAACATTAAACAATGGACGGATGGATGGATAGATGGTGGATGGATGGATTGATAGATGGTGGATGGATGGATGGATAGATGGTGGATGGATGGATGGATGGTGGAAGGATGGATGGATGGATGGTGGATGGATATAGATGGTGGATGGATGGATGGATGGATGGTGGATGGATATAGATGGTGGATGGATGGTGGATGGATGGATGGTGGATGGATGGATGGTGGATGGATGGATATAGATGGTGGATGGATGGATGGATGGATGGATGGTGAATGGATGGATGGATGGATGGATGGAGAGATGGATGAATGGTGGATGGTGGATGGATGGATGGATGGATGGATGGTGGATGGTTGGATGGTGGATGGATGGATGGTGGATGGATGGATATAGATGGTGGTTGGATGGATGGATGGATGGATGGTGGATGGATGGATGGTGGATGGATGGATGGATGGATGATGGATTGATGGATGGACAGCTAGAGAGACAAGGTCCCTGCCCACAGCAAAAAAGTGAGTCTGTATTGCAGCAGGCGACTGACTCCTTCCTGGGTTGCCCGGGCCCCAGGCATGTTCCGCAGATCGTTCCAGTAGCACACCTTCCGTGCTTGGTCCCCCTTTTAATCTGATGCTTGGTTCTCTGCAGGTTGTGCTCTGGAGTGAACACCAGGCCGGGGCTTCCCTCGGGTATACAAACTCTCCAGACACAGAGAAGCCCATGGAAGGTTTAGGGCCTCAGCAGCGCTCCCTATACCAGGGCCTCGAGGGCAACCCCTGCCTGCCGGGGGATCTCTCCCCACCCCCACAGGGGAGTTCTGATCACAGGCTGCCTCTCACCAACTCCTACTCCGTCGTCAGCTTCTTCGTTACACCTGCCAACACTGTTGCAACAACACTGTGACCGCTTTCCCTTTTCCCATTTCCCTTCTGAGGAAGCCAAGGCACAGAGCAGTCATGTTACTTCATCCGGGTCTCTACCCAGGAAGCAGCAGGATACCAGGGAGGTGGGGATGCACTCTTGACATCTGCTCATGTAGCTGTTTGTGCCAATGGTGGGAACACAGGGCCTCTGACTTCATCCCAACTCCAAAATCCACCCGGAGATCACAGGGGGTACTCCGTGACCCCCTTGGCCCCCAGCTAGCAGGGGCTGGATGGGAAGGGGTAGAGCTCCTCCCCTCCTGGCTTGCACTGTGGACCTACCTGGGGCATGCTCTCCTTAGCCACTGCCCAGTCCTTACGCTCCCCCTCACGTGGGGACCAAAATATCCCTGGCTCCTGGACAGTTTGGAGAACTCTGGGACAGAATTTTCTCCCACAGGCCTCCGGCCACACCCACAGGAGGACACATCACGTCTCCTTGCAGGCACGGAGTCTGCCCCCCCCGGGTGACTTACGACAGACCCCATTCTGTCTTCCACGTCCTCCTCGGGGCTCTGGGCCATCCAACCCCACAAATCGGGGCCCAGCAATGGCTCCAGGCAGCCCATCCTGACACCACATTTTAAGACAAGTCCAGAAGAAGTGCTTTCCCCAAAGAAGGACTTTTTCCTGGTCATCTTTATCCTCTGGCCTTCCTGGTCGGGAGGCTTTGCCTGAGCCCAGGCCATGACGGAGAAGGGCCAGGATGGCAAATCCGACGTGTGACTCCCCAGGAAAGGCAGGGCAGAGGCCCGGTCTTCCCAGTGAGGACTAAGGAGGCCTTCTTGCTGTGATAAATCAGGCTCACCTCATTGGCTGCAAACAGTGGAGTGATGGGACCATATGTCACTTGGGCATTAAACAAATCCTAATGAGCTAAAAATATGTTTGTTTTAGCTAATTGACCTCTTTGGCCTTCATAAACCACTTGGTAAACATCCCCAGATAATGATTCCCAGAGAGCGGATTGTGGTTCTCCCGGCTGCCCAGACGGCCCCCGACCCCGGGAACACCTCCCGCCCCGGCGGGAGTCCCGGACCCTGGGCTCCGCGGCAGGTTTTCTGGGGCTCTGCGCAAGGCCACGGCAAGTAGAACCCACCGCACTTCCACGCGAGGGAGCAGGAGCTGGAGGGAGCCTGAGAGTCCAGCCGTTCACCTGCACCGGCCTGGGTGCCGGGCCCGCAGCCGCTCCCCTGTAAGCCATGGGCCACGGGCCTCCTCCATAGCCAGAAGCAGGGACCCTGGTTAGGTGGCAGGGACAACCTCAGGGGACCCGGAAGCCCTGACCCCATGGTGTCAGGAAGGTGGGCACCCCTCCCACTCACCATACACGGCGCCGAGGTCCAGACATTGTATTCCTGCTGTTTGAAAGCTGGGGGCGGGGGGCGGGGAGAGGGATTCAGCAACACCCAGAAAGCAACCTCAAGCCCTGAAGTGGGTGGCCCCGCACCCTCAGCCTCGGCACTGCCTGAGCGGACTGCAGCCCGCCACCCCCCAACTGCTCCTCTGTCCCCTGTCCCCTGCCCCCACCCGCTAGCTCCTGAGCTCTCCTCCCCCAGCTACTCGGCAGAGATCATCCACCACGGAGAACTTCCCAGCAATCTACGCAATAGTGGGACGCGTCCCTAAGGTCACGGAGCCGAGGGTCACAGAGCCAGGCCCCCAGAGAGTTCTAGCTCCTTCCAGGGATGTGGCTCACCCCGCGCGGTGGGGAAAACGCTATTTGCGGCAGGTCAGCAGCTCTGTCTGCAAGGCTCTGGTGCACACTGTCACCCTGTGAAGCGCGGAGCCCAGTGCCTGGCATGGGGCGGAAACTCCGAGTCCACAGCAGTTTTCCAGGTGGCCACACACCGAGGTGGCACAGCTCGGTGAGATCCACACGCCTTCTGGGTCAAACCGCCGTGGCCCCTGCTCCCTAGTCCCCGGGGCTGACGCGCTTGAATTAGACGAGATTAAAGGCTTACTGGAGCTGCAAGCCGCACCCCAACTCCCGCGTTGAGCCCCAGACCTTCTGTCCACCCGCTGAGAAGGACGAGGGAGGAAGGCGGCCACACGGGCAGTGCTGTGGCCTTGCGCACAGTCAAGGGAGCACCCGTGCAGGAGCCAGCTCTCCTTGTGGAGACGAGGAGACGTCTCCTCCATGACGAGGGAATGGGCCCTGATCTTGTGCACGCTGCTCTGCGGCCTGGCTGGCCCCACACACTTGTTCCAGCCCGGCCTGGTGCTGGACATGGCCAAGGTCCTCCTGGACAACTACTGCTTCCCAGAGAACCTGATGGGGATGCAGGAAGCCATCGAGCAGGCCATCAAGAGCCGTGAGATCCTAGCCGTCTCGGACCCCCAGACTCTGGCCCACGTGCTGACCACTGGGGTGCAGAGCTCCCTGAATGACCCTCGCCTGGTCATCTCGTACGAGCCCAGCACCCTCGAGGCTCCCCGGCAAGTCCCAGCCCTCACCAACCTCACCCGGGAGGAACTGCTTGCCCGCCTGCAAAAGGGCATCCGCCACGAGGTGCTGGAGGGCAACGTGGGCTACCTGCGCGTGGACGACATCCCCGGCCGGGAGGTGGTGGACAAGCTGGGCAGCTTCCTGGTGGCCAGCGTCTGGAGGAAGCTCATGGGCACCTCTGCCCTGGTGCTGGACCTCCGGCACTGCACGGGTGGCCACATTTCTGGCATCCCCTACGTCGTCTCCTACCTGCACCCAGGGAACACGGTTCTGCACGTGGATACCATCTACGACCGCCCCTCCAACACCACCACTGAGATCTGGACCCTGCCCCAGGTCCTGGGGGAAAGGTACAGCGCTGACAAGGACGTGGTGGTCCTCACCAGCGGCCACACGGGCGGCGTGGCGGAGGACGTCACTTACATCCTCAAGCAGATGCGCCGGGCCATCGTGGTGGGAGAGAGGACTGTCGGGGGGGCCCTGGACCTCCAGAAGCTGAGGATAGGCCAGTCCGACTTCTTCCTCACCGTGCCCGTGTCCAGGTCCCTGGGGCCCCTGGGAGGGGGCAGCCAGACGTGGGAGGGCAGCGGGGTACTGCCCTGTGTGGGGACGCCGGCTGAGCAGGCCCTGGAGAAAGCCCTGGCCATCCTGACCCTGCGCCGCGCCCTGCCCGGCGTGGTGCGGCGCCTGCAGGAGGCCCTGCAGGCCTACTACACGCTGGTGGACCGCGTGCCTGCCCTGCTGCACCACCTGGCCAGCATGGACTTCTCCGCCGTGGTCTCCAGGGAGGACCTGGTCACCAAGCTCAATGCTGGTCTGCAGACCGTGTCTGAGGACCCCAGGCTCCTGGTGCGGGCCGTGAGGCCCAGGGAGGGCCCTTTGGGGCCCGAGGCAGGGGACGACGACCCGCCGGAGGCGGTGCCCACAGTGCCGGACGATGAGGCTGGCCGCCGGGCCCTGGTGGACTCCATGTTCCAAACGTCTGTGCTGCCGGGCAATGTGGGCTACCTCCGCTTTGACAGCTTCGCGGCTGCCCCGGTGCTGGAGGTGCTGAGCCCATACGTGGCGCGCCAGGTGTGGGAGCCGCTGCAGGACACAGAGCACCTCATCGTGGACCTGCGCCAGAACCCCGGGGGGCCGTCCTCGGCCGTGCCCCTGCTCCTCTCCTACTTCCAGGGCCCCGACGGTGGCGCCGTTCGCCTCTTCACCACCTACGACCGGCGCACCAATGTCACGCAGGAGCACTTCAGCCGCGTGGAGCTGCCGGGCCGGCGCTACCCCACCCAGCGCGGGGTGTATCTGCTCACCAGCCACCGCACGGCCACGGCCGCCGAGGAGCTGGCCTTCCTCCTGCAGTCGCTGGGCTGGGCCACACTGGTGGGCGAGATCACGGCGGGCAGCCTGCTGCACACGCGCACGGTGCCGCTGCTGGAGACGCCGGAGGGCGACCTGGTGCTCACCGTGCCCGTGCTCACCTTCATCGACAACCACGGGGAGTGCTGGCTGGGGGGCGGTGTGGTGCCCGACGCCATCGTGCTGGCGGAGGAGGCCCTGGATAGGGCCCAGGAGGTGCTGGAGTTCCACCGCAGCCTGGAGGCCTTGGTGGAGGGCACGGGGCACCTGGTGGAGGCTCACTACGCACGGCCCGAGGTGGTTGGACAGACCAGCGCCCTGCTGCGGGCCAAGCTGGCGCGGGGGGCCTACCGCACGGCAGTGGACCTGGAGTCCCTGGCCTCGCAGCTTACAGCCGACCTGCAGGAGATGTCGGGGGACCACCGCCTGCTCGTGTTCCACAGCCCCGGGGAGATGGTGGCTGAGGAGGCGCCCCCCCCACCCCCCGTCGTGCCCTCCCCGGAGGAGGTGTCCTACCTCATTGAAGCCCTGTTCAAAACCGAGGTGCTGCCTGGACGGCTGGGCTACCTGCGCTTCGACGCCATGGCAGAGCTGGAGACGGTCAAGGCCATCGGGCCGCAGCTGGTGCAGCTGGTGTGGCAGGGACTGGTGGACACGGCTGCACTGGTCGTCGACCTGCGCTTCAACCCCGGGAGCTACTCCACAGCGGTGCCGCTGCTCTGTTCCTACTTCTTCGAGGCGGAGCCCCGCCAGCATCTCTACTCCGTCTTCGACCGGGCCACCTCTAGGGTCACGGAGGTATGGACCCTGCCGCAGGTGGCGGGTCGACGCTACGGCCCCCACAAGGACGTCTACATCCTCATGAGCCACATCAGCGGGTCGGCGGCCGAGGCTTTTGCCCACACCATGCAGGACCTGCAGCGGGCCACGGTCATCGGGGAGCCCACAGCTGGGGGGGCGCTCTCGGTGGGCATCTACCAGGTGGGCAGCAGCCCCCTGTACGCCTCCATGCCCACGCAGATGGCCCTGAGCGCCAGCACGGGCGAGGCCTGGGACCTGGCCGGGGTGGAGCCCGACATCGCCGTGCCCATGAGCGAGGCCCTGTCCACCGCCCGGGACATAGTGGCCCTGCGAGCCAAGGTGCCCACCGTGCTGCAGACCACGGGCAAGCTGGTGGCCGACAACTACGCCTCCCCGGAGCTGGGGGCCAAGGTGGCAGCTAAGCTGAGCCGCCTGCAGAGCCGCTACTCCCGGGTGACCTCCGAGGGCGCGCTGGCGGAGATGCTGGCGGCCGACCTGCAGATGCTGTCAGGAGACCCGCACCTGAAGACGGCCCACATCCCCGAGGATGCCAAGGACCGCATCCCCGGGATCGTGCCCATGCAGGTGAGACACGCGGTCCCGGGGTGGCTGGCCTAGTCCGCGCGGGCAGGGCCCTGAGCACAGTGCAGGACCTGTGCGGGGTCCCAGTTCTCCCTGCTGCATCTTTCCCTCCTGTCAGACTGTCACCACGGCCTTGTGTTCCCACCCCAGCTTGCGTTCCTGCCAGCCCCCACCCGCCCCAGGGGTGGCCTCGCGGGCGTGGAGCCCGACTCGGACATGCCCAGGGGCACGAGGGCACAGCCCCCAGAGCCCCGCAGCGTGAGTAGTTCCAGGCCCTCCGCGTCTGGGGCCCCGTGGGCACTGTCTGAGCAAGGCCCAGCTGGGCGGGAAGCTGAGTGATGTGCTGAGGGCCACGCGTTTGAAGCAGCAGAGCCCTCGGGGGGCACTGAGAGGGTAAACCGAGGTTGAGGGGTTTGCGGCTGGGAGGTTGACCACCCGGAGCACCCAGACCAGTGGCCAGACAAGCTGAGGGTGCCCTGAGCACCCCACCAGGTACAAGCCCCGAGCTTCATCGAAAAGCAGCATCCAGGGCATCTCGGCGCGCAGTCTGCCGTCTAGCAGGTCACCGCCCCGTCAGGAGCAGGAGCGGCAGGGCAGGTCTGGGTGCAGGCAGTTCACGCTGGGGGGCTGAGGGAGCTGTGGCCTCCCCAGTAGGGGAGAGAGGGAGCAGGGAGAGGGTTAGGGCAGGAGGGGAGCAGGCAGGCGGCTGCATTACGGAGGCCGCTGCCCCCACGGAGCCCGTGGGGCCCTAACGCGTGGGGAAGGACCCAGAGCCGCCACCCGCGGATGGGACCAAACAGCTGCTGGCCTCATGGGGACATGGACCCTGACACAGAGAGACCCGGGGTGTGGGCGGCAGGCCCTGGAGGCCGGGCTCCCCGCACACCGCCCGCAGAGCCCATGTCCGCCCCCGTCTGGCGCAGCCAGTAGGAGACCCCGGGCATGCGGAGCCCCGTTCGTGCCAGCACCACGCCAGGCTCACAGGGCCCGGCTTCCGAGCCAGGCTTCGTTCCCTCCCCGTGTGGTCAGGCCCACGCCCGGGAGTCATCTGCGGATTTGGCTTCTGGCGCCGCCACTTCCTGGCTGTACGACCCTGGGAAGGGACCCGGTCTCTCTGGTCTCCTCACTGAGGGGATGCCCTGCGGAGATGCTTGGGGCTGCAGGTGCGCAGCTCGCGGCCGAAGCCCTGCGGAAGACCCAGGGGCCCCGCTGCCCCGGGAGGAGAGGATGACGAACCCAGAGACACCAGGAAGCACCTGCCGGGGGTGTGGGTGGGGTGGGGGTCAGAGTGGAGGCTGCACCTGGGCCTCGCGGGTGGGCACCCTCTGCGGGGGGCCCGCCAGCCGCAGCCTACCAACCTCGAGCCACATCCCAGGTGACCTCCCAGAAGCTGCCTGCCCGCCCGGGCCCCTGCCGGGCCTCGCTCCCCAGCGTCTCTCAGGTAGAGGACGCGGGGTGAACCTGCGCCCAGGGTTAGCAAAGCCCCGCAGCCCCTGCCCTGCTCTTGCAGATTCCCTCCCCTGAAGTCTTCGAGGACCTCATCAAGTTCTCCTTTCACACTAACGTGTTTGAGGACAACATCGGCTACCTGAGGTTCGACATGTTTGGGGACTGCGAGCTGCTCACCCAGGTGTCAGAGCTGCTGGTGGAGCACGTTTGGAAGAAGATCGTGCACACGGATGCCATGATTATCGACATGAGGTCAGAGTCGGGGGGACGGAGGTGTCTGGGCCTGGGGTCTGGCTTCGCCGGAGGAGGGAGTCCCTGCAGGGGGGCTTCCCAAGCTCCTCTGATGATCGCAGGGTTACCTCCATCACTGGGCTACTTATTGGCTCCCAGACTTGCCTAGACAGAGGACCCAGGAGAGCGATGGGGAAGGGGAGACCTCGAGAGCAGAGCCTGGGCCCCCACACCACCCACTGAACCCAGAGCCGGGGGAGGGAGGGCACCTAGTCACCTGTGCCCTTGAGGCCTCATCCAGGTGATTCCGATGACCCACCGTGGCTGGGACAGCCAGGCTACCACATCCAGTTGTGCCCCTCACATCACACAAAATCAGGCCGGGACCGTCTGGGTCAGGAGAAGCACAAAGCCCGAGTCCCGGGCACAATCTCCAAATCAGCCACAATTGTTGCAAAGAGAATTCTTTGCGTCACAAAATGACTGTTAGAGGGATGCTTCCTCCTAGAGGGAGTGGAAGCAGGTTCCCCACCACGTCCGCCCCGTGGGGACCAGGCCCAGGCCTCCGTGATGCTCCTGGGGCACCCGCCAGGGCACGGGGTGGAACCCCAACCCAGCTGCAGGAGCGAGGCTGCTGAGCCACGGTTCTTGTCGGGACCAGGGGCCCCAGATCTCAGAGGCTTGTTCTCCCTGAAGAGGGACCTCGGGGTGCTCTGCATGTGTGTGTGCGCGCGTGTCCACGTGGCCATGTGCGTGTCCAGGGCCCGTGTTTGTGGGCTCCTGCAGGAACCCCTGAAGGCTTTATCCTTCAAACACTTTTACTGGACGTGCCGACGATGCTCATGCTCAGTGCCCTTCTGTTGACTGTGTGGCCGTCCTGGTAAAAGAGGAAGTGGCCCAGCCTTCAGGTGGGCTTTGCTTAAAAAACCCTTCCAACCTGAGGTTTGGGGGTTCAGAGGCTGAGGCCGCAGGCCCTACACCCTGCGGGGCCACCCTGGGCCACCAACCAGAAGACACTCCTAACATATCACCAGCCCGCTTCTTGTTCCCAGATGAGACGGGCACAGCGTCCCCCAAGCGGGGCTGTCCCCTGCCCTCTGCTCCTGCCCAATGTGGTTCCCCAGGCCTGAGGCTCTAGGACAATGAACACCCCAGGAGGTTGCCCCGGGGAACATGCCCAGTGGTTTGTGGGATCATGGAGAATGCAGCTGGGGAAGACGGCAGGGGGCAGGACAGCAGCCATGGTCGTAGGCGAGGGAAATCCATCGCCAGTGTCGGGACCGCAGGGCCGGTCAGAGCCCCCAGTGTAATGCATACAGTGGGCATTGCATAATGTATTAACCGCGATCAGAAGGGGCAGGTATTGGGGATGCCTGGGTGGCTCAGCGGTTAGCGCCGCCTTCAGCCCAGGGCGTGATCCTGGGGTCACGGAATCGAGTCCCGCATTGGGCTCCCTGCATGGAGCCTGCTGCTCCCTCTGCCTGTGTCTCTGCCTCTCTCTCTCTCTCTCTCTGTCTATCATGAATAAATAAATAAAAATCTTTAAAAAGGGGGGGGCATGTATGACCCTCAACATTTTCTACACAAACTTGACCACAAGGAGACTTGAACTCTGGGAAATGCCAACAAGGGAACCTGCGGGAGGGCGACGGGGCATTAGGACGGGGCACTGCGGGCAAAGCTCCAGGCTCCCGGGGGGAACGCTGGGCCGCCCCGTCAGCCCCCGCCCCCAGTGGTCCCACTTCTCTCCCCGCAGATTCAACATCGGCGGCCCCACCTCCTCCATCTCTGCCCTATGCTCCTACTTCTTCGATGAAGGGCCCCCAGTTCTGCTGGACAAGATCTACAGCCGGCCCAATGACTCCGTCAGTGAGCTCTGGACCCACTCCCGGCTCACAGGTATGTGCAGAAGCCTTCCCCTTTCCTGTTCTCATTCTAGAAGCTTCTGGAAAACCGGGAAGAGGAACGAACGATAGCTTGGGTGCAGGGAAAAATCTGGTAAGTGGAACATCAAGCGCCTGTCCGACGCTGTGCACTTTGCATACGATCCTAAATCCCTGCAAAGTGCTACCGTTACGCTTATTTTCTAGAGAAAAGGGAGTCTTAATTAGGTTGAGGATCTTAGCTAACATCGCCCGACAGATACGTGAAGGAGCCAGAATTTGAACACTGGTTTGTCTAAAATCAAAGTGCCCTCCATTCTCACCCTGCAACCCTCAGCTTAGGGGGCAAATGCAGAACCAGAAGGACCCCCGCCCATCGCACACCCCACAGGGCTTCTAACGCGCATCCTGCCTGAGGTCACCGCAGCAAGGAAGTTCGGGCCCTGATGGCATGTGCCGTGGGCCAGGGCGGCAGCCAGAGGGGCAGCCAGAGGGGCAACCCCGCACTCTCACGGCCCAATGTGGGTGACAGGCTCTCTCCGACGCCCTTGCCCTGCCCGATGAGCCAAGGAACCCACACTTGCATCAGACTAGGGCCGGGGGACCAACAGCGGGGGGTGGTGTGACCAGATAATCACTTGTGCGCGTCCCTCCTGTGTGAGGATCGGAGGGGAGCTTCCAAGACATTCGTTCAGAACTATCACAAAATGCAAATAAAAATCAGGACCAGGTGAATTGTAAATTCAAACACACACTCAAAACCCAGAGTTACAAACAGACCCAAGCCTGCGGACCACAGGGCCGTAGGACGGCGAGGTCTACCTTGCGAGTTGCGCATGGCCACTGAGTGCTGAGACACGGCTCCTGCAAACAGAGATGTGACACGTGGAACGTGCACACCAGACTTTGAAGACTTTTCCACAGAAAAGTAAAGATATAAAATATCTCAAAGATTTTATTGATTATATTTTTCAGATAGACTTTTTTTTTGGATATATTGAGTTACATAGAACTTTATTAGGGTTCATCTCCTCTGTTTCTTTTCACTTGTTTGACACAATGGCGAGAACACCTCGGGCGACCTCTGTGGCCCCGGCTCCAGCTCGTGCCGCATTTGTGCAACGTGCACTGCCAGGGCAGGCACTCTCATCCCCCGTGGAGGAAGCACGTACCCTCCCCGGGCTCGCATCCATGTCCTCGTTTCATGGCCATGGGCCAGGGGCTTGGGGGGGCAGCTGCCTGCAGATGCGGGGCCACAGGACGGAGCCGCAGGCCCTCCTCTGCGCGGGTCCGGGCAGCACAGGGACGCGGGGGCCCCGGGGACTGCCAGCCGGCTTGAAGGGCCCTGTGTCTTGCAGGTGAGCGCTATGGCTCCAAGAAGAGCGTGGCCATTCTGACGAGTGCGCTGACGGCCGGCGCTGCCGAGGAGTTCACCTACATCATGAAGAGACTGGGCCGGGCGCTGGTCGTCGGGGAGGTGACCAGCGGGGGCTGCCAGCCACCGCAGACCTACCACGTGGACGACACCCACCTGTACATCACCATCCCCACGGCCCGCTCGGTGGGGGCCGCGGACGGCGGCTCCTGGGAGGGGGTGGGCGTCGTGCCCGACGTGGCCGTGCCTGCCGACGCAGCGCTCGCCAGGGCCAAGAAGGCACTGCAGCGCCCCGCGCGCAGAGCCCGGCGGAGCCCCAGGGCGCCCGGGACCTCCCGGCGACACACCAGGCGGGCGGCGGCCCTGGCCCGGGCTCCTGCCTGAGGCCAGGTGCAGCTCAGGGGCCTGCTGGGCTCCGCCAGGCGGGGGGCAGAAGGCACGCCTGGGTCCACCCAAGGTCCCTCAGCCACCGCCAATGTCCCTGAGCACCGGGGATGGGGAGCGCACCCCACGGAAGCACCCCCTCCACGGGAGCTCTCGGGGCGGCGAAGTCGAGCCCCCACCCCTGCTTCTTAGCTGCCAAGCCCGGGCCCCGGCAGCTCCAGCCACCGCATTGCACCATGAGCCGCACACCCTGGCACACGCGCCACACTTCACATCTCCTGGTAGTAAAAAGAAACGGGCGAAATTTATTGTGATCGTGTGATTCCTTTCAGCTCCTCTCTGCACAGTAGCATCACTGCAGCCACATTAAAGTCACCAGGAATGAGATGCTTTTGCAGGAGCCTTGGTATGTGCCGTGTGGGCTGCACGTGCCGCGCGCCCCCCTCGCCCGCACACGCCCGCTCACAGGCACCTGCAGCTGCTGGGTCCGCGTGGACCATGCGGCCCAGAGGCCAGGGAGCCCCCCCGCCGCCACGCCTCCTCCGCTTCCTGCCCTGGGAGCCTTTCTGGCCCCATCATGCTTCCCAGGGGCGGTAGCCGCCCTGCTCCGCGCTCGCCCTCATCCCGGGTGCCGGCCACTTAGCACAGCACCTCCAGGCGGCAGCCGTTAGACACCCGAAGACAGGCCTCATCTCACCCAGAACCCTCCCGGTCCAGCTCTGTACAGCAAGTCTGTCTTCCCTTCCCGGGTTCCTCCATGGTCTTGTTCTCACCCAAAAGCGAGCTCTGGCACCACGCGGCCCTGGGACCCAGCACAGCAGGCTAGGGGGAGCGCGGACCTGGGCGCCTGCCCTTCCTGACCAGTGCGCCCGTGGCTGCCCTGGCCACCAGATGCTCCCAGCCGACTGAGAAGCCTGCAGAGCCCAAGACCTCCTCCTCCAGAACCAAGCAGGCCCCAAGAGGAGATGAGGGCTCGAGGGCCACCTGGAGGAATGAGGCCCCCGGCTGGCCCTGGGCACCCAGCCACCTTCCTCTGCTGGAAATCAGCAGCGACCCAGAAGTGAGAGATACCCGGGACCCCCCAAGGTCATGGGGGGATGCGCAGTGGGGACACCCCCAGCCCCCATCAGGGCTCTGAGAGCCGAGCTCCAGGATGTATCGGTGAGGACACCAGGCCACGCCGCCCGAGTCCAGGCTGTAGCTGCCACCGCCCACTTCCCCCCGGAACCCCAAGCTAACCTCACCACCAACCCTCTCGTCACCAGCCACCTCCCCGGGTCCCACAGAGTTGTGGGTCCGAGCAGACCCTGGGTCGCCACGGATAGTGAGGGATTCACCACCTGGAAAACCTTGAACCAGCCCCGTCTCAACGGGACAACGACCGGCACCCCGGCCCCTTCCCTTCTGCTGCATTTGAGACTGAGTGCACGAGAGGACTTGAGCGGCAGGCTGCATACCCGGGATGCTGGGATCCCACCTTTCCCGACTGGACCTAACATCCAGGCAAAGGTGGGGCACCATGCGGGCACACAGTCTAGGGGTTCTCTGTGCTCCCTCCTCCTCCCCGCCCCTCCCCACACTCAGTTACCTGAGCGTCTAAATCAAACAATGGTTCCTCTTGGTGGTACAATCAGGGCTGATCTTTTATTTTATTTATTTTTTATTTTTTAGGGCTGATATTTTAACTTTCTTTATACCTTTCTCTGTTTCTTAAGTCCTTATAATAAGCTTGTATCATAATTTTCAAATGCGGCCGTCATTATTCCAAAAATGGAGTAAATCAGATCAAGTTCTGAGTCCCTAACCGTACCTCCGTGACCACTAGTGATTGCTTGTTTTCCCCGTGGGTTCTCCTTCAATAGCATCCGGGTTCCCTTGATTTGCACGACTGACATTTGACTGTATTTTGTTGAAGGTGTCAGGCCAGGGACTGTGGGGTCTGCAGATGGCACAGCCTTCAGTGGGTCTTGCTGTCTCCACGGGAGGCAGCTGACAGTTAAGCTCAGTAATTCACAGGAGGTCCCAGAGTTAGCACAGTGGACGCTTGTCCTCCTCCAGGTCACCCAACACGTGTTTCCCCCTGTGAATGTTCAGGGAGTCACTGACCGCATGAAACCATGGGAAACAGACTCACCAAGAGCAGGGAGGTGTCCGGGAGCCCAGGCTCGGGCTTGAACCTGTCCCGGGGGGAAGGCCAGGCCATTTACTCCTTAGACTAGACGAGCTAATCCGGCGCCCGGCCCACGTCATCTGATTCCATTTGTCCACCATCCGGCTGGACGCTCGGAAGGTCACGTTCCCAGCTCCACAGCAGCAGGGCATGGGCACGAGGTCCTCCCGGGCCAATGTGCAAAACATTTCACATGTTTAAGCAAGTGAGAGCTGGGCAGCAGGAAGGGCCGGATGCCCAGCATGAGTGCAGCGTAGCCGCCCCACTCAGCAGCAGCTGCAACACCCTCCAGAGGCCTTGCCACCATGGCTGAGGTCCCGCCGCGGCTCCCTTTCCCTGCCCACGGTCCAGCCTGAGCCCCCAGCCTGCCGACCCAATGCTGTGCACGCCAGGCTCCTCTCAAGACGTCCTTTCCTGCTTCCCTCAACCACATACTACATTTTTTTACAACAAACTTTTTTTTTTAACATCACTGCCTAGTACAGCTGGGTTAGGGCACGGGTGAACTTTGAACCCACATCTACCTGCCTCCAAAGACCCTGCTGTTTGTACCGTATCATGAAGAGGCCCTGGGCCTGGTCTGGGAAGAGGGCTGAAGTGGGAGAAGTAGACCAAAAAGAAAGGGTCAGTGCTCCTGAGCCAGTTTTCTTGCACTGTTACCTGCAAGACAGAAGACGGCGGGGGCGGGGGGCGAGGAAGACAAGATCCCAGCAGGCGTCCCTTCGGGGGCAGAGTCGGGTGCCCCACAGCTGCCCAGCAGCCTCTGTTCCAAAAGCATAGGGCCCTTGAACCCGTGATGTTCCAGGAGGGGCTCATCACCTCCACCTCTCCCACTGGGCCCGGCCGGGCCTGCTCCTATCCGGAGAGCCCGTCTTGTACGCAGCCATACCTCCCTCTGAGATCAGAGCAGACATCTGAGAGCTAGCTCAGGCTCCCGCTGTCCATCCCTACCCCGCGTCCAAGAGGACTTGTCTGCGCTAACAGCACTCCGCTCTGGGCCCACCGGCCACTCCCCCTCCCTTCTTTGGGGGCCTGGCTTGGTTCCTTAATCCCCACCACAGCCTCCCACCCTGCTTCGGGGGCCTACCCTGTAGTCAGGGCCACTTGTCTGCCATGCAACCTTCTCAGGTCTCCCCCTGCTTGAGAACCAGCCCCCACAGGGCACCCAACATCCTTCCCATATCCCAAGGTAACCCCAGCCCTCAGACAGGCTGACCCTCCACCATCAGGCTGCGTGCTGGACAGGTGGCCGAAGCAGTCCAGCAGGGGCCAGGGACCACACTGGGCATCAGAGGGGAGGACCCAGCCCTTCTCCTATCTTCCCCTCCTGCTTGCTGCATCTCTGCGTCTGTCTGCAGCCAACACACAGCCGAGGGCCAGGCCACATGTCCTCAGGGCCTGGATTATCCGCACAGCTTGAAGGCAATGAGAGGATGGGCTCAGAAAAAAAAGGATGCAACCCAAATCACACTTGTGGGCCAAGAAGCCTGCCTCGGAGATCCCCACTGGAGGGCGCCTGCCTCTCTCCTCCTGGGTCCTATAGGATTAGCGGCCACCTGGCCCCTCCTTCCCTCCTGCGGGGGCTGTGAAAATAGCTCGCTAATCCGAGCAGCTTAGAATAGCACTGGTCCGGGAGGCCACCGGCTTCCTGTCTCCTGCCCCAGGAAAACACTAGCCGGCAGGGGAAGAAGATGTTAGGGTTAAGGAACCCCAACCTTCCTCCCAGAATGCACTGCCTCCCCAACCCTGGAGCAAAACTGGTTCCTAAAAAAAAAAAAAAAAAAAAAAAAAACCTGGTTCCTGAAAATTCTCTCCTAGGACGTGACACAAATCAAAACACATTGGAGGATAATTTATTTAAAAAAATAAAATAAAACAGGGCAGCCCACCCCGGTGGCTCAGCAATTTAGCGCCGCCTTCAGCCCAGGGCGTGACCCCGGAGTCCCGGAATCGAGTACCACGTCGGGCTCCCTGCATGGAGCCTGCTTCTCCCTCTGCCTGTGTCTCTGCCTCTCTCTCTCTCTGGGTCTCTCATGAATAAATAAATATTTAAAAAATAAAATAAATAAAACCTATCTCCTATGGGATTCACCTCTTACTATATAGGTTTTAGTCCTCTCTCATGACTTCCACTGCAAACACAAGAGAAAAACTAAGTTATGCAGTTCACGGGGAATGCAAACCCGGGTCGGAGAGATGTGGCGTGTAGGGGAGGCCTGCTGCCCGCAGGGGGCACCAGCACCTCACAGGAAAGGGACGACCCAGCAAGGTGCTCCTCCAAGGAGCGGGACCCACCTTCCCGCGGGGGTGGGGGGGGTGGGGGGGTTCTCCTGCTGTGCCCAGGACAGGGCAGCTTGTGGGAGGCCAGTGCCCAGGCCCAGCACCTGGCCTCTCCAAGTCTGGATGCACGACAGGGCTGGGGGTCTCGGGCGCTCACTCCGCTGTCCCCAGCCCCGTCGCTGCCTGTGTGTTCCCTGAAGTCCCTGCTGTTCTGGCCAAGAGCTTTCAAAGACCAAGGGAATCACGAATTTCGCACAGGGCCCTGGTTTCTAGCTCCTCTGGGGGCCTGCGCTCAACCTGGCACTGACGGGCCTGCCTTCACCCAGGACACAGGAGCTCCGGGTGCCAGGCCCACCCTCTGTCCTCTGTCCTCCCCTCCCTGAAGCCCGGTGAACTCCACTGGGGTTCACTAATCTAACTATAGGGTCACTTGAGTAGGATACCCGGTCTTGAAGGTCTAAGATTCAAGAACTGGCCAGAAGTTGAAATCTAGGATTCCAGCCTCCAAATGAAAGCAGCCTTTGGTTAAAATTGAGACCCAAAATGGACCTGAATCCGGGATGTCTTATTTTAGTCTCATTTGCACATTTTTGGGGACTCATACAACTTGTCTGAAGGGCTGCTGCTTGGGAGATTAAGATACACATTGCTTTTCCCAGCCCCTAGGGGATATTTTCCCTCGCCTACTGCAAGAAATTAGCCAAGCGTTTCTGTTCACTGACTCCGTGGTTTCTGCGGGACGTGCGTAATGACGACGAGGCCAGAAAAGCGCCGAGGCCCGAGATCCTGGAAGAGGCGGAGGAGACTGAAACCAACAGTTCAGCATGGGGGCTGCGGGATGCTCAGGGAGTCTATGTCCTTGGGGGGGAGGGGAGATTGGGGAACTTTCTGTGAGCTTCCAAGACAGGGGCTATTTGAAAATGACAGACTGTATCTCACTAGAACCACAGGATCGAGGTGCAGAGCAGATTCAATTAGATATAAAGAGTTTAAGGAACGTGCTCATTCTCACCCCAGAATCAAAGAGGAAAACCCTCACCTGCTGATGTGATGCTTTGTGGCAACATCACCAGCCAACTCCTAACCGGTCTGGAAGGTGGCAGGGGGAGCCTGGGCAAAGTCATGATTAACAGTGACGACTCGGGAAGGGATGAGACAGGGTTTGACCACCAAGGGGACTTTGGGAAGCTGGGCTGCTGACAAGCAGGAGCCGCCACGTTCATGTCATCACTCCATTAGTCATCTTCTTGGAGTTTGTCAATTTAAATGGCTGCAGAGCGACGGGCACGTCCATCCGTTTTCATCAAAACGAGCTCCGTCTTCTAAAGCTGAATTGGGGGAAGCCATTCCGTTACACTTCTTCATAACTTTTATTCGGCTAACTTTAATGTTTTTCAAAACATCTCCCTTTGCTTGAAGACGCCGGGGTCGCCGCTAGAAGTGATTCTGCACATGGCCACGGCCAGTGCTTGCGGACGCCACGGCGGGGGCAGGGAGGGTGCTCAGGCTGATGTGTCAGGGGGCTGTCCTCGACCTCACCGCCAACTGCCCTGCACGATTCCGCAGCTCAGCTCGTCAGCGGACCCCGCTGCTCACCGCTGTAAAGTGAGAGGACACGCGAGAACCCTAGAGCCCCTTCTATTTGGAATTTAATTCTGAGCATCGTGCACATGTGCCTTTAAAGGCGGTCTCAGAAATACGGGCCAATCTGATGAGCCCGAGGAGGCCGACGCTGCCCAGCTGACTCGGGTGAGACTGCGATGCGTGCGCCGAACACTTCCTACGTTCCTACGTTGTTCTTCCTGCTGGGACCCGGCAGTGAACCAAACGGCCCAAGGCCCTCCTGGAGCTGACTCCCCGGCAATGGGAGAGACGCAGTAAGAGAGATGAGTCAGTAACTCGCATAGCGAGCCAGCTGGTGGCAAAGTGTTCCAGGAAAAGGTGGTGGGAAAGGTGGGGGCATATGCAGGGTGCGAGGTGAAATTTTAGAAGAGGTCGATGCCTGGACCTAAAGTCCCACCTTTTAAACCACCCAGGGTGCCACGCGAGAGAACGTCTGAGCAGATGCACGGCAGGCCCAGAAGAGGGGAGCTCAGAGTCGGGGGGTCCTGGGACTGATCCGTGCACTGCTTCTCCTGAACCTGTGATCTTGACACTTAACTTCACGGAGCGTAGCTTCTGCTGCAAACATGGGGCGGGAGGGGAAGGAGGCCTGCGCAGCTTCCTGCCTTCTGTGGGGACAGGGGCCATCCTACAGAGCGTTCCTGTCTCCCTCGGGGGTGGGGGGGGTGGGGGCTGCAAACCTCCCTGCGAGAGCAGAGGTGTGGGTGCCTGCAGGGAACACGCTGCCTCCTTCCAGATGCAAAGGCTCCTCAGGCATCCTCTCCTCTCCTGCAGCTTCCCACCCCCCACCCCCCACCCCCGCCGCTGCCACTGCCGCCCTGCAGCACAGTATTCCTCAAGTGCCTCTGGGAACCAGTCTTCCAGAGCCTTCCAGCGCTCTGGGCCAAACAGCTGTCCTTGGAGGCCTTCCTCCGACTCCACCTCAAAGGGCCTGTTTCACTCCTTTCTCACACGGCCTTGCAGGATCAGCAGCTCTGTCCCCTCCCGGGGCATCTGCAGCTCTGTCCCCTCCTAGAGCCTCTGCAGCTCTGTCCCCTCCCAGGGCACCTGCAGCTCTGTCCCTCCCGGGGTGTCTGCAGCTCTGTCCCTCCTGGGGCATCTGCAGCTCTGTCCCCTCCTCCCAGCACCACCTGGACTCTGATGATCCGCCCCTGCCCCTACTCCTGGAGGCCTGCGGGAGCACCCCCCCCCCAGGTGGATGTGAGCCTGCTCCCCCGAGCCTAGCACCCCCACAGGTCTGAACAGGACCATGGGCCTCCCCCAGGGCCTGGCCCTGAGCCTGCCACAGCAGGGATGCCCGGTGAGGTCAATAATTGAGTGAATAAATGGCTGGCTCTGGGTGGAGGTGGATGAGGGGTGCGGGAGTCAGCGGGGTGGGCATAGGGTGGGCCGGCTGGGACCCACTGCCACCCGGACCAGGTGATGCAGGAGGTGGAGAGCAGAGGTGGGGGTGGGGGCTCTGAGATGCCCCCTCCAGCTCCTTCTCAGCCACAGCCTGGGCTCTGTGCCCGAGGCCCCGCACTGACTAATTGGGACAGTAATAAACCTGGTGACTCGGTGATCACACTGCGCCGGGTGCCATGCTGGCTATTTTCCACTCACCTGCCCACACGACCCTGACGACATCCCTAAGACACAGGTGTCACTGTCTCCATTTACACATAAAAAGTCAGGGCTCAAAGGGTCAAAGCAATGTGTGCAAGGGAGGGCTAATGTGAAATATCTGAATCCAGGTTTGCCTGCCTGCAAAGCCCATGCTGTGCCCAACCCAGTCCCACACAGAGCACGCAGGACAGTGACAGGAGCAGGCCCTCCACCCTGTGCCTCGCAGGCCCGGTGCCCCGGCTTAGCAAACTGTGTCACTTTATTTCATGACTTTATTCCCGTCTAAACACACACTCGCCAAGGGCTTCCTCAAACGATGGCCAAGGTGCCCATCCTTGACCCCCAGCGGTGACCACTCTGGCCACCCCCTCAGAGGCAGCACCGGCGAGCCAGCTCTGCGTCAGTGCGCCCGCGGCTTTGCTCCTTGGCCAACGGCTAACTGTGAGAGGTCATGTGCCGAGAGAGATGGTGGCGCTCCCGGAAGTATTCATGGCAAATGGGACACGTGAGGGCCTCTTCTCTCAGCTTCTTAGAACTGGGGTTGGGGCTTGCACGCTCCTTTTTGTGGTGGGACCGCATGTGGAAGACCAGGTCGGAGGTCAGATGAAAGGACAGGTTGCACTTCACACACCAGTTCTGGGTGGACAGGCCCAGGGAGGTGAACGTGGGCGGCAGCAGGGCCCGGGAGGCCGCAGAAGAGGACAAGGAGGCCGCGGGTGTCCGGGCCTGGGCTCGCTTTAGCCACAGCGTGGGGGCACCCAGGAAAGCACTGCACACCGGAGCATTCTGTGGCAATGTTTGCAGGCCCCAGAAATCACCCACCAGAAGCTTAGGATTCAAAAGTTGACCCCAACTGGGGACGTCCATCGTGTTGATGAGTCCCAGCAGCTCCCCGAGGGCACCCGTGGGCCCGCCGGCCTGGAAGACAGAGGCTGGTGAAGGGCCCCCTGCCGGACACCTGGCTGGGGTGCGGAAGGCGCTCCTCTGCTCCCCTGGGGCTCCGCGAGGCCACACGGAGCCCTTGCTGCCAGCTGGACTCCTGGGGAGGTCCCGGGGCAGCTGCCGGGGACCATGGCCTGTGGGGTTCGCATGCCCCCTTTCCTGGGCCTGCACACCCTCCGGCCTCTTCTTGAGCCGAGGCACCTCCGTGAAGGCGCTCGGCCCCTGTTCGCAGCACACCCGGGCCATGGGTCCCCCCAGTCCGAGTTTGCCCGGGGTTGCTGGCAGCAGCAGGTCAGCACGGGCCTCGTCCTGCCCCCCATTGCCCGCGGCGGCCTCAGGGTGCAGGTGGTTGGTTTTCTCCAGCAACACTGGCTTGCTGCCCCTGCCCGGCTCAGCTTCACTCAGCCGCCACCTGTCGTCAGCCGAAGCGCTCCGTGGGATGCCCTTCCCAGCAGCCATGCCAACCAGCAGGGTGGGCGCCAGCTGACGAGGAGGGTGCTCCGACGGCCGTCGGGCTTCAGGGCTCGGGGTCGCGGGGCGCCCGCCCCAGGCAGGAGCCGGAGGTTGGGTCCCCTGTAGGCTGGGCCAGCCCCACCTGGGCTGCAGGACTCTACACAGAGAGGAAGCAACAGCAGTGAGACACGCTCCTCATCTCTGCAGGGTGCAGCCAAGGGGCCTGCAGCCCCCCCACCCCGGCCTCAGAGCGCGGCCCCCCTTCACCTCCTGTGCCCTATCAGGGCGGGCCCCGACCATGTCACGCTGCCACCTAGGCCGTGGCCCGGCAGCCCCTGCCCCGCCAGCATGCAGACAGCAGCTGCTGTGTCTGCAGGCGCCCGAGGTGCCCACCCAGTGGCTCCCACCAGGCGGCGTCTCTAACGTGTGTGGCCCGCGTTTACGAAAGCTTTCGTCTCTGCTCAGAGCGGTGTCGCGGCTCAGCCGCCCCTGTTCCTTCCACAGCATCAGACGTGCTGGGCGCTGCCCACCTGGCCCTGGAGCTCCCGGGCACAGGTGGCCAGCGCGTGAAGGCTGCACAACACACGCTTGGGCCTGCCAGGTGGGTCTGGGCCGCGCGTGGCCCCCTGCCGCTCCCAGGGGCAGCCCCTCCCACCCACTGGGCCCTGCCCCGGGCCAACGCCTGCCCCGTGTGCACTCGCCAGAGCCGTCCCCTGGGTCCTCTGGACATGAACGCGCTCCCTGCTCTGCACACCTGTCAGCGTTCCCCGGGCCCGCCTGCTGGGCCTGCTCGGGGACACCAGCCTGCGCTTGGCCCCGAGGCGCCTGAGGCTCATGGCCTTTGTGAGGGGCACTGCGGGGGGGCCGGGGGCGCCGCCAGGGGGCTTTCCTCTGCCCTCTTCCAGCTGGTGCTTGAGACCAGGACACCGGCTCCAAGCACCCCCCTCCCCCCGCGGGCAAGCAGCTGTGGCTGCACCCACCTCTGCTGAGTGTCATGGTGGCACCCTCAGGCCACAAGGGCCTGACCATGGGCGGCCAACTCCCCCGCGTGAGGACGACCGGGCTTGTGGCGCAGGAGCATCAGGGGCCCAAGGCGCCACAGGGGCCTGCCCTCGGCCAGGCGCCCACGCGGGGCCTCCATCCACCTTCACCGCTGAGAGCACAGGGTCACCACCGTCTCACAGGAGACAACGCGGGTTCTGGAAGCTAACCACCCTGCCCGACGGCCTCTACGGCTCGGGGCGCAGCTGGCATGCGCCTCAACAGGGTGGCCCCAAAGCACCCCCGCGTGGACCGCCCGGGGCCCTCCCGGATTCCCGCGGTGAGCTCGGGTCCCAGCCACGCCTCCAGGGGCGTAGCCTCTCCAAGCGGCCTGGCCCAGCTCATGGGCAGAGGGCGGCCTGGGCAGCAGAGCTTAGGGACCCAGCCCTGCCCCTGCCCCTGCCCCTGCGGTGACCTGCCCCCCCCAGCCCACACCACCCTCCCCTCCCCCTATGCGCCAGGCCGGGCCCGGTCACCTCCCAGGGCGGCCCAGGGCACAGGTGCCTCTGCTGCCCTTCCCGCCCTCACTGCATGCTCACACCCACTCACACACCCAGGGACGCTCCCGCCCTCGTGTGCACGCTCACACCCACTCACACACCCAGGGACGCTCCCACCCTCACGCGCACACTGATACCTTCACACACGTACACTCCCGCCCTCACATGCACGCTCACACACACTCAGGTATGTCCCTACCTTCACGCACACACACTCACACACACATTCAGGTACACTCCTGCCTTCGTACACACTCACACCTTTACACACACACTCAGGTACATTCCTGCCCTCACATGCACATACCTTCACACACTCAGATACACTCACACCCTCACATGCACACTCACATTCACACACACTCAACGATGCTCCCACCTTCACGTGTGCACACACACACTCACACACACTCAGGTACACTCCCGCCCTCACGTACACACACACACACCCCTTCACACACGTTCAGATATACTCACACCCTCATGTGCACACAGAAACCACACACACTCAGATACACTCCTGCCCTCACGTGCACACTCACACACACTCAAATACACATACACCAACACACACACATACCCTCAAATACTTATACACACGCCTTCCACCCCAATCCATCTCTTTCTCCCCAGCTGTGCCTCAGACTCCAGATGACATTTTAGAACCACACCACGTCCTTCCCAAGCCTGGGGGCTGCCCATGCTGCTGTCCTTGGGCCCTGCTGCTCGCGGCACCCCTCCACAGACAGGCCCACTGGGGGCCTTCACAGTCAGGCACCTCTGCCAACTGTGGCCACGTACACCCAGTCATCAGCAACATTGGAGTGCCCCGAGCCACAGATGAACACTCTGCTTTCAGCATTCAAGTTTGGAACATAGCACCTTACTGCAGGATAACGTATTTACTACCATCATATAAGAGCGGAAGGGACCGCTTCCTGACTCTGCCAGCGCACCCAGGCCCGCGAGGCCAGAGGCGTCATGCACCTTATTACATGGAATTTTCACAGAAACCACACAAAGGAAGCCACACGATCCAACCCAAGGGCATTCATCATCTACCTGCCAAATGCCACGTTGCTAAGTGCAACGCTGCCTTCCAGCCTCATGTACCACTGTGGGTCTGGATCCTGCCAACTATTATATTACGTATCCACCCAACTTCATGCACCATCAACTGTATTATTCAAATCTTAATAATAACAATGGGACCAACAGGAAGGGAAGAAAAAAGAAAATATAATAATAATAATGAGGAGGAGGATTAGGAAGAGGAGGAGAAGAAGAAAAGGAGGAGACAAGGGTCCTACATTGGCTGAGGACCATGGGCATGACCAAGCTCCCTGAAGGTCACCTGTCTCTCATGCGTCAGCACAGCTGGCCTAAGGTCACTCAGGCAAAAGCACACAATGTCCTATAACAAACACCCTGTCTGAAGCTCCAGCTAACTGGTCCACTCTACAACACTGCCAGATGGAAACCTCTCAAAGTGGAAAATGACGGGGCCTGATGTGGCCTGTCCCCGGGGAGCCCGTGCCAGCCCCAGATGCCCATCCCTTCCTGTCACAGGACTCACGGGCCTTTCCCAGGGTCAATGTCAGACTCTAGGTCTCATCCAGCTCCAGGCTTCATGCACCTCTCCTGTAATCCACCTGTCAGATGGCCTGTGCGGGTACGTGATGTCATCTCCGGGGTCGGGTCATGCCCTGGCCAGTGCATTCTAGGTCAAGAACACAGCTGTTCGGTGCTGCCCCTCTCCTTCCTCCTATGTGGACCTACTGCCTTTGCACCTGGAGGATACACTCATGACGTTCCATGGATCTATGCAGCCCTTGTTCTCCTTGCTCCCGTGCCTGTTTAAGGGACCCTTTGCTGTCCCTCTACGCTCCTCAATAGCCTCAGTTCATTCTGGGCTCTCACCCCCTGACACCATCTGCTCGTCCTCGTCACTCTGCTGTGTGTGCCCTGAGAAGGGTTCTCTTGTCCTCCTTGGATCTTTTCAGTGTGAGCCCAGCAAGAATGCCCTCGGAGTCACACAGACATCTCTCAGTACCACCTCGTGGTCTTCCTATTGAAAGGACCTGATTTCAATACCAGACTCTCCAACATTTCTGAGTCCTTAGATCATGGGAGTAGAAGTGACGATCTCTGAAACCTGAATCTGAGCTCCCCAAGCCGCCATGGTGTCTCACCACATCCAGCCTTTCCTACCATGGGGGGATACTTCTTTCTCAGGCTGTCAACTTCCTGGGCCACCAGTGAGGATGCCGCTGACTGACACAGGAAGGGCTACATTATTGGAGATGAAGCCTCACCCACATCACAGTGTTGCAAACACATGAGTCTTTATTACTCATTTCCAAGGCACTGAGTACAGGCCCCGATCATCCCTTTGCCGGGGAGAACGGGCCACACTCTTCCATGGCACTTTCCTATCAATGCTACACCCAGGCCGTGCCTTGGAATCATCAGGCCTTATATCACCTAGAGGCTCTCACGTCAGATGCCTTGATCAAACCCAACTCTGCTCTTACCAATCCTGTGACCGTGGGCAAGGTGCTGTTCCTCTCTGCCTATCTTTTCATCTTAAAAATAACCCTTTCTAAAGAAGGATCACCTTGGGGTCTACTACATTGGTGATTGGTAAAGATTAGATGAATTAATGTATCTAAAGTGTGAAAGAGCCTGGCTCAATATATGTTAGGTAGCATTAATTGATTATTATCATATTAGTGCAAAGAGTGAGAGTCAACCTTCTGGCTGCCTTTCCCCTACTCATGTGTTCCCAGAAACCTGTGCATAGTAGTGCATAATGAGTGACCAAATGGCCTGCACATTTTCCTTCTTCCCCCTTCAGTCACACAAGACAGAGCTTTCAGCAAACAACTGGGTGACCTTCTTTTCCTAGGGTATGTGAAGGTAGTCTCCAATCTATCAGCTGCCAGCCTCCAGCCTTTCAAAGCTGCACCTCATCCAGGAACTGGATCTTATTCCGGGGTACCATTTACACTACCAGCTAGTGCCTTTCTGAGTCTGCCTTCCTATTTAGGTAAAACAAACAAGAGCAGATAATACCTCCTGTGCGCTAATCCTTTGGTCTCCCTAGACCTCGGAGTCACTTCTCAGACCATTCTGGAAGGTTCCAGAGGATAATTATCCATCCACCCCTTCTACATATGGATCGTGAGGTCTTAGGCTTTCCTGAGAAGGGAAATATGCATGCATCCTCCTAGCTCTGAAACCCTGAGAAAAGTGAAAACCGGAGAGCTATCCAGGCTTTCCTGGAGGGTGGTTGGTGATGCCACAGAGCTGGGAGAGAAGAGAGCTTCCTAGCCAATCCCTACAGGCTCTATGTCCAGCTCTGCCCACACCCCATTAGCAGTGATGCCTGCTATGTTCAAGCAAAACCACATGCAGTATTCCCAGGATGCAGCCAGACAGCAGGCCCATAATGAGGTCAGCTGGAGCCCTAACACATCTTGGCCTTGTAGACCAATCCTAGTGGCATCCTTCGGGGGAAAGTCCGCAACTTGTATATAAAACTGTTCAGCCAGACTCTACATGATGCCAATAATACCATCATCTACTAGAAAGGAGAGATACAGCCTACCAAAAGAAAGAGAAGAAATTTAAAAGCATTACAGCTCAACACAAAAGCTTGAAAAAAAATCTTTTTATTGTCATTTTGTTTTTTTTTTTTTAAAAAAGTCATTTCCTGGATTTCTCAAAAAGAATCTGCTAAGCAAAGCAGACATGATGGTCTCAAATCATTTGCAAAGCATCCCTTTCATCCCACTTCTCCAGAATTCTGGTACACTGGAAGGCAGTGGTACAATGACTGAAGTCAATTTGACTCTTCAAGGCAGAAAACAGTTTCCCAAATCAAAGTTCCGTGCATATACTTAAGAATTTGCCCAACGTTCTTGATTTAAAACAAAAAAAAAATTCTTTCAGTAAACAGACTGCAATCCTCTTCCATCATATTTCATTTTTGTTTTCCTCTTGTGTGATTTATGTAATGTTACGTTTCCTTTTCCATAACAACTGAGAAGTCAAATGAACTGAAATATCATTAAAAACCATAGTAAACTAAAAGGCTAAATTACTCATTTAAAAAAGCTTCTGGGGCAGCCCCGGTGGCGCAGCGGTTTGGTGCCTGCCTTTGGCCCAGGGCGTGATCCTGGAGACCCTGGATCAAGTCCCACATCGGGCTCCCGGTGCATGGAGCCTGCTTCTCCCTCTGCCTGTGTCTCTGCCTCTCTCTCTCTCTATGTTTCAAATAAATAAATAAATGAATAAATAAATAAATCTTTAAAAAAAAGCTTCTGTTAGGTGGTAATTAATACCTTTAAAAATAAAAAGGTTTTTTTTCATATTTTTGTGGTGTGTGTGCATGTGTGTTTGAGCATAGAGCTACATGTCATAAAACATCATAAAACAATGAAGTCATGTCTCTGACAAAATTACATTTTTCACGAGAAGCACAACGCTGCTTCCCTATACAATACTTCTGCTTTATTCCCCCAGATGAGTCAGATTCGTTGTTCCTAGATTTCGTTACTTAGTATGTCTCTAAGACGATCTTTGATACTAAGATGGGCACTTTTTCAACTGCGGTCCTATCTAGTGGATACAAAAACATGAATTTTAAATGCCACAGTAATTGCTATAAGGACGCCTGTGTGATTCAGCATGATTATGTAACTTAATTTCTGCTCATCAGCGGCATTGACAAGTACATATTTTGGAAATATACAGTTAATTTCACCTTTGAACTCTCACTTAACGGCCTGCCACGCAAAGCCCTGACGTCCCTGTTGTGTTCCCACCCCCACCCCCGCCCGCTCGCACCGCCCCCACCCCCACCCCCACCCCCACCCCCACCCCCACCCGCACGGCCCGACACGACTTCCGCAGAGGCCCGTGCGCCCGGCGCCCCCAGCGTTTCCGCATGACTTAGCGTCGGGGCCGCTGTCTGTACCTATTACCGCAGGCAAACGTCAGGGAAACGGTTCTTGCCTCTCTAACGGCGCGTCCTCCGCCAGCTCGCCCCAGGTCTCCGCCATGCACAAGCACAGCGCCCCTGTGTTTCCCCCAGAACCGGCTGCGGCCGCCCACGCGGTGCACGCGACCCGCCGGGCGAGGACGCGGCCCCACTGCCCCGCGGGGGGCGGAGGGCGGGCGAGGGCGGCGCGCACCCTAGGGCCCAGCCGAAAGTCACCCCGGGGAGACACAGCAAGGTAATAAAGGAATTCCTGGGGCCGGGAGCGCGGGTCGGGGTGCAGGGGGGGCGAGCGACGCACAGGCAGAGACGGGAAAGTGAGCCCGACGGCGGAGGGACACGGGCGGGCAGAGGGGACAAAGGGCGGAGGCAGAAGGCAGGGCTGGGGCACGGGCGCCGCGGGGCGACGGCGGGCGGGCGGGCGGCACCGCGCACCCACCGGGAGGGTCCGCGGCCTCGCGCCCCTCGCGCCCCTCGCGCCCCTCGCGCCCCTCGCGCCCCTCGCGCCCCTCGCCCGGCCCGGGAGGACCGCCTCACCTGCGCTCTCCCGCGGCGCCGGCTGCGGCTCACGCGCGGGCCGCCCCTCCGCTCCGGCCGCGCGGCGCCACACGCGTGTCGGGACTCCGAGCGCGAGACCCGGGGCCGCCCCCGCCCCGCCCCCGCCCCCGCCCCCCGCCCCCGCCCCCGGACGGCTCGGCCCCGCCCCCGCCCCGCCCCCGGACGGCTCAGCACCGCCTCCGTGGCGGGGCCCCGGGCAGCCGCCTCCACCACCCCTGGGTGCCGGGCCCGCGGGCCGCGGCGGCCGTGAGGCCTCGGGTGGGCGCCCCGCGCTCGGCTCCGCACCCCGCCCGCCGCGCCCTAGCGCCGAGCCTCGCCCAGCCGGGCTGACGGGAGCGTCCCGGGGCGGCCGCCCGGCTCAGAGTAGAGCCCCGACCGAGGGCTGCGCCGGGGCCTCGGAGCCGCGGGGGCCGCCGCCGCTTCCCCCTCACCGCCCCCGGGACGCCGCGACCGGCCGTCGGGGCGCCGCCCGCCGAACTCCGCCCCTGACGCCCGCGCGGTGAGTGCCGTCACCTCCACCTCCCGGGGGCTCCGCGCCAGCGCTCCGGGCCGCCCAGCGGACGGTGGGCCGGGTCGGGGCTGGAGGGCCGGGGCGGGGGCTTCTGGGGGGCTCGGCTGAGGCGGCCTGACAGGTCACGTCGGGTCACGTCGGGGAGCGCGGCCGGCGCACGGAGCCCGCTCCTCCCTGCGACCCCGTGCTCCGGGCGCCCTGAGAGGGTGGGGCGCGGTCCGGGGCGGGGGGGGGGGGGCAGCCCTGCTTCTCCTCAGGCCTCGGAGCGTCTAGTAAGTGTGAGGGGGGAGGGGTGGGGGGTGGGGGGCTCCGCTTCTCCTCAGGCCTCGGAGCGTCCAGTAAGTGTTGGGGGGCGGGGGGGCGGCCGGGGGGGGGCAACGCAGGACGGACGTTGGAACTTCGAACCTGGGGAGGGTCCGTCCACAGAGAAGCCCTCTGGTGACCGTGACGTGAGACCCCAAATCCCCGCGAGCGTGTGTGGAGCCCCAGGGCCAGAGGCGGAGACGAGAATCTGGGGCCGGAAGTGGGTACTTCTGGGGGGAACACGGCGAAGATACACGAGTTCACGGCTGACCTAGGAGTATTTGAAAAAGAGTAGAATTAAACCCAAAGAGAATGAAAGGGAGGGTATTTTAGAGAAAGAAATACAAAAAAATAGTGAAATAAAGCCAAAAGTCATTTGAAGAGACGGTTAACATAGATAATATTCTAATGAATTTGGTTGTAAAACAAAACTGTCCTTCCCAATTTTTTTATTATTATAACTGCCCCCCCAGAACCTTTTTTTTTTAAAAAAAAGATTTTATGTATTTATTCATGAGACCCAGAGAGAGAAGCGGAAGGAGAAGCAGGATCCCTGCAGGGAGCCCGACACGGGACTCCATGCCGGGACACCCGGGGTAACGCCCTGTGCCGAAGGCAGACGCTCAACCACTGAGCCACCGAGGTAAGTGCCTCTTCCCCAAGAGGTCTTAAAAAATTTTTGTCCTTAGAGACTCTCCCCCTCCATGAAATTTTAGTACCAAGAATTTATATATGTTTTAGAATTATAAACTGAAAGACAATTTCACCCCCCTTGGGGCAATATGCTCCCTGTTATGAATGCATAGAATAAGAAAAGACACGAGTAATATTAGTAATTTAAAATATATGACTGGGGGCAGCCCCGGTGGCTCAGTGGTTTAGCACCTGCCTTCAGCCCAGGGTGTGATCCTGGAAACCTGGGATCGAGTCCCACGTCGGGCTCCCTGCATAAAGCCTGCTTCTCCCTCTGCCTGGGTCTCTGCCTCTCTCTCTCTCATGAATGAATAGATAAAATCTTTTTAAAAAGATAAAAAATAAAAAGATACAACTACAGAGAGAACAGAAACACAAAATTCAGACATAGTCTGAACACCCTTATACCAACACATGGAAACAAATGTCTCAACTTCCTAGAAAAATATGGTCCCTAAATCTGATAAGAGAAATACAAGCATAATATAATCCAGTGTGTTTGTCTGCTCAGACTGCCATGACAAAGTACCACAGAAAAGTTCCTCCTCTTATGACACAAGACCTGGAGGATGAGGGCCACATTCTTAGGACCTCCTTTAACCTGAATCACCTCCTTCCTTATAGGGCCTATTCCAAAGACAGTCACATGAAATGTTAGAGCTTCATGATATGAATTGAGGTCTGTGGACACAATTCAGTCCATAATGTTCAGGAAACATTAAATAAATGATATTGGTAGCTTAAAAAATTCTGACACAGAAAATACCAGGCACAGATGATATAATACCAAATATACACGGAGCAGATTATTGGGATCATGTTGACAGTATTTCCAAGAGGAAAGAAAGTAAAAACCTGCCAAGCATGTATTCTGAGGTTATTATTACCTAATATAATACCAGTTAAAGACACCACAGAAATAGGAAATTACAGCTCAGCCTCACTCATGTTCATAGATAAAAACAAATTCTAAACTGATAGTAAAGTCAATCCAGCAGTGTTTACAAAAATTATCATGGCCAAGTTGGGTTTATTTATGAAATATTAAAATGGCTTTTACTCACATTAATGTAAGTAATCATATTAATAAATTACTGGAGAAAAATTATATTCACAAAATATGAGAAAAAGAATTTAGATAAAACTCAACACTCAGTCATAATTTGTAGCAAAGAAGAATAGTGAAACTGCCTAATTTGTTAGAAGATGTCCACAAAAAGCCTTCAATAAATATTATTCTTAATGGTGGTGTTTTAGAAGTATTCTTTCTAAAATTAAGAATGCTGGGATCCCTGGGTGGTGCAGCGGTTTGGCGCCTGCCTTTGGCCCAGGGCGCGATCCTGGAGACCCGGGATCTAATCCCACGTCGGGCTCCCGGTGCATGGAGCCTGCTTCTCCCTCTGCCTGTGTCTCTGCCTCTCTCTCTCTCTCTCTCTGTGTGTGTGTGACTATCATAAATAAATAAAATTTAAAAAAAAATAAAATAAAATTAAGAATGCTTCCAATCAAAGTTCCAGTCATGTCATTGGAGAACTAGTCAGCCCAATGCTTTTTGGGCTCTACAGATATATTTTAAAGTAAGGGAGCTTAGCAAGTTAGGTGAATAATCAATAAATTAATAAATGTGTCCACAATACCAATTAACAGTTTAAGGACTTTATTTTTTTAAATGCCATTTATAATAGCAGCTATACGTATGCGTGTAAATATATGTGTATATATGTATACATGTGTTAAATACATGTATGTATGTATATATACCGTATAGGAAAAGCATTTGGCAAAACAGCTTAAGATCTTCATAGGGAAATTTATATGAAAGGCATTTAAAAAAAAAACAAGTAAATGGAGACATTGGCATGTTCACCAATTGGGGAGGCTAGATGGCAGTTTCAAATCCTTTCAAATGTATCTGTATATCTGATTTATGCTGCCCCTCTAGAGCCTGCAGCAGAACTCTATATGTTAGATTAAGTAACCCATGCCATGTGTATCAAATTTGGCTAAATTATCTTCTGGTAACAACCTTCCCCCATCTGACCAGCTTAAAAGCACAAACTTTATTTTCCATCCATATTTCTCACTTTCCCACATATACACATCCTCCCCCCAGGTTCCCAAGAGGGCATTTGACAACACATTTGCTCAGGCACCAGGCTGTTGGGTCCATCTGAAATACCTGGATTCTTAAAGTTTCCGTCCAGAGGTAGCACATGTAGTTAGCATCCGATGAATGCAAGTCCAAGCCCTCCGTGAATGTGACAGGGAAGCACAGTCCTTCCCTACGAGAGGAAAGGACAGCAAGGAAAAATAATAGTCACCCATACTATAAGAAATAAGTGTGGTGTTGACACTATCAATATAAACCAATAGATGGATAAATGGAATGGATGAGAGCACAGAACCACATCCACACCTACATGGGACTTGCAACACATGAGAGGTGACTTGCAAATCATTCAGAAGAAGATAGAGTAGTCAGCAGATCGAAAAGGATGGTGTAGGGGCACCTGGGTGGCTCAGTGGTTGAGCGTCTGCCTTTGGCTTAGGGCATGACCCCGGGGTCCTGGGATTGAGTCTCCCACAGGGAGCCTGCTTCTCCCTCTGCCTGTGTTTCTGCCTCTCTCTCGGTCTCTCATGAACAAATACATAAAATCTTAAAAAGAAAAGAAAAGGATGGTGGGAAAACATATATGTGGGAAAACATGAAGTAAAATCCCTGGCACAAATCATACTTACTAATTAATTACAATTAAAGACTTCATTGTGACATAAAATCTTTAAAACTCTTAAGATAAAATGTGTCTCACCTTAACAGTGAAGAATTACTTAAATGAAATACAAAATCCTACCAATCTTAAAAGTGAAAAACAAACCATAGGCCAAAAGAAAATACTTGCAACAATTGATAAAGTATTAGTACCCCAAACGTATAAGCAATGCTAAAGAATCGATATAAGAAGCACGAACGCCAGAATTAGAAAACGGATACAGGTAAGAACAAATACTTCACAAACAAAAGTGAATGACCAAAAATCTGAACAGAAAACCAATTCCACCAGAAATTATGGAAATGTGAATAAGACCGATGAGATGTCTACTGAATAGATAAGTATGCAAAATGTGACAATACCAAGTGTCCTGAAGGATGTGAGAAGGAGAGGCTACTATGCTACTGACAGCTGCATACCAATCTTATCAACTCCAAATATTGTTTAAGATATTCCATGTCCTTTTAAATACCACTCCAACAAAGAAAACAAAACCTCCAACACAAAGCTTTTTATCACTTGTAATTTTTATGTAATAAGTATTGAAAGATTTGTTTTAAGCTTAGGATTTTTAGTGTATATCACTCTTGTGCATACAAAAAGTGAAGAAAATAAATCACTTAATGGATTTCTAAATGCTTTTTACTTCACATACTGACTTTTTGCAATCACTTTTGGCTTAGTATTGTCTATGCCTGTGTTTTTCCGCGAAGCAGGGACAAGCCCTCCCCACTCAGCCTTCTCTGCAAGTCTAATCCACAGAACCTGCGCAGAGAGGAAACGATTCTCTTGTATGTCACCTGTCTGGGTGGCTTGTTACACAGCAGGAGGTAACCGGAATGTCCCCCATTCACAAAGGACTTTGGAATGCTTACACGAACCTTCTAGACCTTCTAGATCCTTCCATGCCCATGAATAACTTCAGTGTTCCCACGGATGACCATTACCATTCTGGAGCTACATAGTTCTTGACCTCCTCATCCACAGGGACGTCCTTATCTAAGCCACCTCAGCGGCCTGCTTCAAGTTATAAACAGGCAGGGTCTCGAGGATTAATGGCCACCTGGGGGGGTTGGGATAAGGGACAAAAGGCGGCCTGGCCTTGCCCTCCGTCCAGACATGCCAGGACTCCCGCCTGGGGCTGTCGGCAGGCAGGACACTGAGCAGAGCTGCAGGTCACAAAGTCACCATGCCAACCCTCTTGCTCATCACACAAGGCCT